CAACATGACATGTGGGACGGGATCCTAGTGCGCATGAAGGTCTCTGCAGCATCCACAGACAGACAGCCTCTGATGACAGACAGCCTCTAACATTCCTCAGTCGTGCTTTTTCTGCATCGACCGCATTCCCGTCTCCTCCGTCACCCGTCACTCATCCTCGGCCCGCTCTCGTCTGTCCCAGCTGAAGGTCACAATATGGCCGACTCCTTGTGAGAGGCCCTCCAGGTCCCGATGCTCCACGCTGCCTGAGTAAACACGGCACAGCAGTTCATAAAGATGTGCATTGTGTGCCTTGCATCTGCGTGCGTTTGAGATGAATGCGTGCGTACCGAGGGGTCTTCCTGAGCGAGGCTTCCTGACTGCGGGGATACATGCATACCGTTAGTGAGGCCGGCTGAAATATTGATGCTGTGTTTTGTTCCCATTTTTGCTGTACTTGAGAGGCCATCTGGACAGGTCGGCCTTTCTCACGTTAAATATTAATTCTCCCGTTGAATATGACCTGGGGAGAGCAAAAGAGGGTCACTTTGTAACATGAGAAAAAGGAAAGGGGGGTAGAGAGGTGGTGGTGGTGGTGGTTGGTGGGAGGCGACGGAGGGGAGGAGGGGGGGGAGTGGATTCAACAATAGGTTTTTCCTAACAGATGGAAGATTGACTGCACGGATACAGTTCAGTGGCGTAGTGGAACCTGATATCCGATTATATTCCTCCCTCCCTATAACTACAAAGGGGATTACATGTGGTTACATGAATAATGAAATTGAGATTATTTTGTTGACATACATCTAATTTGTTGTGGCACAGTTGTGGCACTGCCCGTCAGCCTGCGTCTTTGTACCACACTACTCAGGTACGACCAACAGATCGTGTTCTTTACAACAAGCCAATCAAACGGGTCACTTCTGGCCAAGTCTGCCACCTCAGTCCTCCCCGGAGGAAACAACCCAGAACTGTCTCCGTGGCAGGAATCAGTCGCTGGAGGGAAAAGCTCACAAACAGTTTGGTTATTGACGACCCAGTGGTCCGAACTCTTTCCCCGTCCTCAGCACCGACGGAGAAACGTGCCGTGATCTGAGCGTGCGAATGAATTTTAATGACGTGCTTAGGAAGGCAAACCGGCTGACAACGCGGCGATCCTAACGAGGTGCCATTTAAAGGGAGAGGTTTTCAGTAAATTATCCCTCCGTTTTTAATAATTAACGCCAGCCTATTAATTATGAACAAATCTGTAGCCTAACACTGATCAAGAGGAGGGAGGGAGGGTTGCCTAGGAGCACCGGCCTGCTCTCTGGAGCTGTTAGGAAGGAGGAGGTTGGGGGGATGCAACACCTTTGTTTTGGGTGCTGTCACAGGGGTGCCACGAGCTCAGGCGATCAATAATGCAGTCTGGCACGTGCTTGGGGAGGTTTTCTTGCCAGTTGATGCTCTGCGTTTCAATAAAGGGGGGGACACCTCTCCATTGATTTTGTGTGAGACTTTTAATCGTCGTTTGTGGGCGAACTATTACACCTTCAAGGCCCTCTGGCTGCTCAGTCAAAACAACAACTGGCCCCCGCGCGCTTGAACCTCCATTTTCGGATGCTAAATCAACACAGCTGGACATCCTAAAGTTTGTGTTTATGTCTGAGCGCTACCTTTCCGACTCGAGCCCTAAAAATAGCCGGGCCGCATCCTGCTGTGATGCTGAAGGTGCAGCCATCTTTCCCCTCCGAAGGACACAACACTGTCTGAAGTTTGGGGGGGGGAGGTATAGAGGGGGAGTGAGGCGAGGGAGGGGGAGGGAGGAAACGGTGACTACCGTGTGACAAGCGCGCTGTTCCTTCCTCCCAGGCCTGAGAAACAGGAAGTGCTGCACATAAGGCATTATTGTGACGGAGAGGAAATGCAAGGTCCTCTAAAAAAAGAGCTCCAATCTGGTGGTCACTGACAGGAGCCTGTCCTCCATGGCCCCACAGAGACCTGTATCCGCCCCCCCTCCCTCACAACTTTGCTGTTGAGATATATATATATATATATATATATATATATTTAAAAAAAAAAAAGAACACGCTCCCATTCTGTAGAGCGTAATGAATCCCCTGTGCTCTCTTGCTGTGGGAAAGCATTGTAAGTTTTAAGTGCATTAGCTCAAAGATAACATCAAGTGAATCTGCATTAAGATGAAACGTTAAACCTGTTTGTCCCCCTCCTAAACCCACCGACGTACAGGCCGAGCAGCGTCTCAAAGGGTTAACGGAGGCATATGGGGAGGATCCACCCTGCTTGTGTTCAGCAGAAGCTGAGGAGGAGCTGGTTGCTAAGAGAGATGCGAGGCTTTGTGTCGGGCTGCCTCCCAGTTAATTAAAATCCTACATTATCTGTTTCATGCTTTCAATTAGAAAGCTCTGGAAAAGGGCCCGAGCCTCTGCATGTAGATAACCATAGCAATAAGATTGGATGAATACAGGGGGGGCCCGTTTGCACTGCAGGCTGCAGCAATGCCCTGCTGTTGTGTCCAGGCCTTGTTTTGATCTCACACACCACCGGTGACGATCCAGGAAAAAAGAAAAAAAAAAAAACATGGCTGTGTAGCTCCTCTGCAAAAATCTGCATGGCACCTCAAGCAGCAAATTAATTGGATAAGATGGGCTTTTGTAGCACGTGGCAGGTGCTGGCCACCTGTGATCAGGCACATCTGAACCGCTGCAGAGAGCCGGTATCACCGTTCAGCCTGAGCCAAGTCTGTGCTGGTTTTTTTTTGGTCATCAGTAATCAAAAGAAGTGTCGGCTAGCAATGTTTTTGCTCAATTAACGGCAGATCCATCAATGCCCGTCTCAGCTTTTCACAATCAATTAACTGCGACACAGAAGCCAAGCTGTACGGGCAATCAATCACGCTTAGCTTAGCACATTACGATTTATGTATGCTGTGCTGTTTTTGGTTGTAGTTTGTGTCCCACCAGCCAAAGCTATTAAATCTTGGCTCTTTGAGACGTTGCGACATCCTATCACAACCCAGTGCATGATAAAGATTATACATTTGGATTTTTAAAAAACGAAGGATCTGAGCCAATTACTCCTTTTCAATTACTGTTAAAAATGCAATCAATCACCACTTAATCAAAACACAACACACACATACAGGAACAGACAGGAATGCCTTTTATAACAAACAGCACAAACACTGTGTATTCAAACAACAAAATCTTTTCTTTTTTTTCTCCCCTGAACATAAATGACTTTGAGGAAACACCTGACATCAAACAAACCTTTACAAAAACAGAATATTTACTGCCCTCTACTGGTCACTCGAGGAAATACCAAAACATGAAAGCAAACATTCTAAGGCAGGGGTGTCGAACTGTGGTCCTCGAGGGCCGCAATCCTGCAAGTTTTAGATGTTTCCCTCTTCCAACACACCTGATTCAAATGATCGGATCGTTATCAGGCTTCTGCAGAGCTTGGTGAGGAGCTGATCATTTGAATCAGGTGTGTTGGAAGAGGGACACATCTGAAACATGCAGGATTGTGGCCCTCGAGGACCGGAGTTCGACGCCCCTGTTCTAAGGCATCTGACCTGACGGTATCTGGAGAAGGAAGCCTCTTCCTAAAGCAGGTAAGGTTGGGCTGCATGACTCTTTCCCAAAAGGCCTTCCTATACCCATCATATCCATCAGTGCCTTTGTGCATCCTCTGTCCTCACTTGCACACTTTGGTTTCTGGAGGTCTTGCAGAGTCGTCGGGACCAGAGGCTGGACTGGCAGGTTGGGAGAAGAACGGACATCCACGACTCTGGAGGGGCTCGTCGGTGGTTGGTTAACAACAAGGTCCATTTGTGGGGATGAAGGTGATTTCACAGTTGCAGGTTCCAGGGAGTCTGGTTGTGTCTCGCTATGGTCCTCTGCAGCTGGTGAGGTCTGGGATGAAGACGGAGGTTGGGGGTTGAAGCGAGCCAGCAGGCCCTGTTCTGTGACAGGGAAGTGGCCGGCAGCCCACTCCCGCCGCTCACGACGCATTTGATCCAGCTGCCTGAGCTCTGTGGGTAACTCCAGAGCACTTTCCTGTGGATGCAGGCAGGTAAATGAAAGGTTTGTCTGCTCACCTGGATGCTTGTGCATTACTGACTGCACATAACAGATCGATTCAGTCCTGAGATGCTGACCAAAACGGAACCATTAGAGTACTTAAATTAGCTTTATCAGTTTTTGTTTTTCATATAAAAGCAACACACCAAAGCAGTTTTTAAACCCATCAAATCTTCGACCTGTGCACGAATACAGTTACTCTGGTGTAAACGAGGAATGCAGGGTTTGAATTAAAAGCATTTTTCAGAAGATTAAGGTTGAGAAAAAGAAAATTCAAATATTTCTTACTAGCAAATGTTTTTTTTTTAACCTTTTCATAATATATTCCATTAGTCATTTAAATCTTTCTGCATGAATATTCAGGCACCGTGTGAAGCTCTTCATAAAAAGTAAGACCGATGTGAGGCTCGTGAACTTCTCCAGCAGAAAGGAAGACATATATTTAGTTGTCACAGGCAGAAAATCTGAGATATTGTTTTGCTTGTACTTGTTTCATTATGGTGCATATAGTGACAGGAACAAAGTTAAAAATGAAAAAAACAACATAGTCTTTTAATTTATTAACGGCAGCACCATATGTATTTATCTACCAGAGACAAATTGTGCCAAAATGTGCAATCTAAGATTGATGACTTCATTCTGGAAATGGGCACATTTCTGTCATAATGACAGATTTTTTTCATTAGAGCACAGAAATTGATTCAAAATGGATTTTTAAGAAGAAGAACCACTTGGTTTTGTATCACCGACCATGTTGACGTGCTCCAGTTCATCAGGTTCATAGTGGCTGCTGCTGAGGTAGGAATCCACCAAAGCCATGTAGTCACTCATGAGCGTGTCCAGCAGCACCAGTCTGAGCGGCTGCAGATGGATCACTGACAGAGCCAAAACCTTCAGCAGGGATACGGGGCAAGGCCGCTTGTACCACATCTCCCTCTCTTCCTGTAGAAACACACACACAGATAAACCTGGAAACCAGACATACAGTCTATAAAACCATCCTCCCACAGTCCCGCTGTGTGCTGCACCTTGGTGAGCTGTGACTTTATCTGAAGAGAGGAGAGCTGGGAGGAGGGCACCTTCAGATGGAGATTCACCACCGCCTGGAGAGTACTGACTCTGTCTGGAAGGAAGCCTCCAGTCTCTGAGTAGAAGCACATGACATCTGCCACCTGAAAGCATCGAAATAAAAACAGGAAATGAATACACTCAGCTAAACTTAAGTAAGAGAAATGTAAAAGGCAAAAAGATTGGAGTGATGTGGACTTCTAGATACTAACACATGTACCTGAGTGTCAAAGATGTTGGCTAGTTTCACTCCAAACTGAGTAATCAAACATCCACCAATGGCTCTGCAGTCATGAATGACCTGCACCAAATGTAAAATCAGTGTAGATGCCATAGTCATAACAATCATCACTGTGATTATTTTGGATGTGTTCCCACCGCTCACCTTTAGGATGTGCTTACTCTCCAGGATCATGGAGAGCCCATTCTTAAAGGCTCGGGCTCCGAGCAGGAGGATATCAAACAGGTACACCTTGTTTTTAGTGGCAATCTAGTTGAACGAAGGTCAAGTGAGGATCAAAAGCCGGAAGTACGGACTCAAAAAACAAAATGATAAAATCGGATCGTCTCACCTGTAGCCAACACAGTCTTCCACTCTTAAACACCTCGACCCCTTCAGCGGCCACGCCGATTACGTGCTGCTTCTTGATGTGCATCACCTAAAGGATACTGTACTTATACATACAGGGCATCTATGTGAGTTATGCAACAGAGAGCAAACGTTAAATCAACTCACAGCAGGTCCAAACTTCTCATGAAACTCATCGATGACGACAAAGTCGATAAACTCGTCTTCATCTTCATCATCTGCATTGAAAAAAGAACCCAAGTGAAACAGTTTCTCCAGCAAAACAGCATTTTTTCATTTATGTGCTACTAACTCACCCAATGTGATCATCTTCTTGTATGGCTGAAACCTTTCCACTTTGAGGTGTTCTTCCACTTTGTGCTGAGGACTGTTTCTGTGCAGCACATCGGATCTTACAGTTTATGTCCAAGTCTGACCCAGCACAGAGTTATCAACAATATGTTCTACTTACCCATGATGGCTGTTTGCTTCTTTGGTGAATTCCACTGTTAAACATACAAACATCACGTCAGACATCAAACCTGACCAAAACAATACTCTGACGTCTTCACATGTGAACTCACCATTCAGGATCTCGTGTCCAAAGAAGATTTTTGTTCCGGGCAACTTGCAGCCATTACTGCTGCTTACTGCAAAAACAAACGTTACACACGATTAGCAAAGGCCTTCAGACAAAACAAATGACTTGGTCCGATTTATTTTGATATACTGAACTGCAAAAATACAGAATAAATAAGATATACGTTTAATAAAAAAAAAACAACAAAAAAAAAACAAACAAACTTGCTAACCGTCTGCTAACACCAAGGTCTTGTTGGGGTTGATGCGCTGGACCACCCCGAAGTACGACGCGGTCTTCAGGGTCAGTTTGATGCGTTTTCCCTTCAGGACGGACATGAACTGAAGGTCATCCACGACCATCTTAAAGTCAGGTAGGAGCTGTTTCAAGCGAATAAAAAAACAGTTTTAGCTCAGTAATATCGGGCTTCACGCTGCTTTTCTTCCGTCTCAACAGTAGCTAGGCTAACAACTTAGCTAACATTAGCTAGCTGTGCTGTTAGCGCGCGACTTCACCGTTAGCTCAAAGAGTTCGATGTTGCGTTCAAAAGCTCGTCGTTAATTTTAACTTTTGTGGCAAACACGGTCAGAATAAGACTAATAAAACAGCGAAGAACGTAAAATGTATTTGAACTACGTGACATAACATCATATAAGTTTATATTACCTTTTAAAACTCTTATGATATTAGTGATTCCTTCTACATGTAAAGCTAACTGTGTGAAGAAGGTGAAATTTCCGACTTTTTTTTTTGCTTCTTTTTAAAGCTTAAAAACCCCCAAATGTGGACAAAATCCACGTTTTTAAAGGCGGAATCTAACTTATTTTACTTTCCAGTGGGTCGCTGCTCAGCTTTGCACTAACTTTTCCAACTTCTGCTGAGTGTGAAGCCCGTGATGGAAACAACAGGCAGTAAGTACCCTCTGCTCATTAACGCACCGCCGGATGATCGATGTGTTCCTATAAAGACTGCTGCGGCTAATTCACAGGATCTGCACAAGGCCAGCGTGTTCCCAGGAAAGCAGCAGCAGATAGCTCGATACATCCACCAGGGGGTGACCACGGCTCGAGTATCGAGCCAGCTGCAGTTAGTTCCAAGGTCTTTGACTCTTGAATCTGAAAAAGTCTGGTAATTTTCCATCTCTGAAGCCTTTTATTGCCATTAACATCACATTGTACAGTGTGTGCATGCATTCATCACTGATATGGTCTGAGATGATTTAGCAGTAAATCCTTCACTGCAACTTTTTTTTTTTTAAAGACTAGTCTCAGCTGCAGCAGTGGCCACTATTTATGTAAAGATCATGAGAATAAAATCACCACAGTGCATGAAGGTGACACCTTTAAACGCCACCCACAGCTATTCTCTTTTTGCTAATTTTCCATCTGCATGCACGATCACCAGCAGAAACATCATCCACCCAAGCTGATCATATAATATTAGAAGCAGTGCTCCTCCTCCTTAAGTAGAAATATGCGCCACATGTCTGGAAATCTACCCTTTAATTTTCCTCATCAGTTCGCTGTGGAGACTCAGAATGATGTAATGCAGTGTGGGCCACTTTCTTTTACACCAATACATACTGTGTAATATTACAATCTAAGTGGTACATTTCCACAAGAAGCCCTCAGCTCAATATCATAATAAAACAGAAAAAAAAAAAACCCTGTAAGGAATCAGATTTTTTGCTGTGCCTTCAGCCACATGGGGGCAGGCTTAAGGCATCGCTGTGTGGTCTGATAACAGCAGTGACTCAGAAAAAGGCTACAGACGTGCTTATCTTATCACAAATAGCCAGCTGCTAATACACAGGTTCTCCTGACTTCCCTCTGCCCCGTGGCAACACATGAAGCTGCTGGTCGTGGGTACTAGGCAGCGTGCACGGTGCCGCCTAAACCGAAGGGAGGATGTTCTGGGGTGCAGCAGATTCTTATCACAGCCTGTATCATTGGTGTGTTTTGGTTCTCCTGAGGTTATGCCCCCTTGAAGTGAAGTATAAAAGTGGAAAGCTCCAGTGTTGATGTGACTAACTTAAGTTTTGTTTTTGCAGAAATTGGATGTTTTGTGGTCGAAGGAAAGCTGTGATTAGATCAGGACATTGGTTTATCAGATCTTCTAGCAGATCTAAAGAAGATGAAACTGTAATGTGAACACACACGACTTCGTTCTTGTTTCAGTGACTAACTCTGTTGTGTTTTTCACCCTTTTCTGCACCAGGAAACATCAGTTTTAAGGTGATGGCGGCGTTCAAAAGTTCAGCAATCGTGAGTAAAGTTTATGAAGTAACGTGAGCATTTTACATGAATCCTCTTTTGGATGAAAGACTCCTCAGACTTCACTAAACCACATCTCTGGAGCAGCTACGGCACAATAACTTTCTCCCTGAGACACACATAATGGAACCTGCAACCACCGTTATCTTACAAAGGAAGATCCACCCTTTCCTGTTCTGCACAAACAAAGAGTTGTAGCAGAAACCAAAGCAGGGGGAATCACATCCACACTGATGATCCACAGTTATGTCCAGCTCTCCCAGGAGGAGGCATGGATCCAGACTTTATGTGAATGAGTTTTTATTTAATTTAGGGCAGCAGCGTTGGAAAGTGACTGATTCAATCATTAATGCCTGTTACAGAGTCAAATGAGCGAGATGATGGTGTGAAGTGATCCTCGTTTTTTTTTTTTTTTTTGTCTCCTCACATCATCTCGAGAGACTTGGCCGACCTCCGGCTGATCCCCCACCCTCCCCACCCTCCTTTTGATTAAAGTTGTAAAGAATAAAAAACCTGAGCACGACTTGAGACGCGCGTCATGATGAGTGGCGAGGCGCGGAGCCCACTCTGTGTGAGTGACAAGCCCGACAGCAGCGCGGCCGCCCACTCACAGACGAGCTGGGTGAATCTTAATTGTGTAACGTTCATTGACGAGTCAGCACAATGCTGCTGAGACCGCGGCGGAGGCGCACCGAGCCGAGCACAGCGATGAAATGCTCCCATCGAGGAGAACGCAGATGGACAGCCTAGTTCAGCCGCTCGTCGCCCAGTACCTCGCCATGGGATGCCAGTCAAAGGAAAACCAGAACGAAAGTGTGGCGCCGGACGAAAAGGGAAAAGACGATGCGTAAGTCGAGATAATCTTTCTTTCTTTCTTTCTCTCTGAGCAGTTTCTAGATTGGGTTTGGTGTGTGTTTAAAAAAATACAAATAAAAATGTAAGTTGTGTTAGTTCTTAAACAGGTGTGTCTGAATTTGTGCCAAAAAAGTCTCTTTTACGCACAGACGCGCGTGGATGTTTACTCTGTGACCTGCTCCACCTAACCTGCACATGCCTTCAGCTAATCCTCCTTTTTTTTTGTTGTTGTTTAGTGGTCACTCAACAGGTTAAACTGGATGTCCGCAATCAACCGGTATTTCCCTAAATTAAAGGAAGGAAATGAGAACAATGAGAATCATATGGGGCGTTCTGACCCAGCTCCAGTCTCTGTGGCCGTCAGAACAATCGTGTTATATACGTGGCCCGTTAATCTCTGCTCTCCTAAAAATCATACTTTAATATCTCCAGTCACACTCAGATTATCTTCAAAGCAAACAGAGAAAGGCACACTTTCATTACAGCCAGCCCTCCTGCCCCGGCCCTCCCCCTCCTCCTCCACCTCCCCCTCACTCTTCTTGTGTTGGTGTTTCTCAAGGAGAGTCACGCCAGGATGCACCTCCAGGTCTAGAGTGTCTCCTCCGGGCCGCCCTCACAGGTTCCACAAACCCAGTCCGGCCCAGACCGCCTCGGGGAAACCAGTAATGTCTCTGGGTCACCTAACCAAGGGGGCAAGCTGGGAGGAGCTCATCCAGGCCTGTCTGCAGCTGTTCGGTAAGACCAGGCTGACCTGCCGCCACGCTGCTGTTGACTTCTTACACTGACAAAACCACAGGTGCTTTTAGGTGGTGCAACACAGATGTAGAACGACCGTATCTGCTCCTTGGTTTCGGTGAGATCACGCGCTGTTGTAGCTCAGGATGAGTTTTGTTTTTCCCACCACTCTCCCTGGAATTGTTGCGACACTCAACAAGTTGGGACAGGCCTCTAACAACAGAGGGGGGTGTGTTTTGGGTTTTCGAGTGAAATGCTTTGTCTTAACTTGGCTGAATGCGTGTTTGCTGTGTGTAGGATGTTGTGGTTTGAAGATGAAATCCCTCCTATCGGTGCTCGGATTTTGGTGTTTTTCCATCACGTGAACCTTGAACAAAAAAAATATTCATGATTACAAATTTTACATAATGGCTCATTTTTCTGGTTTTAATATTTCACAAGATTCTGTATTTGGAGTGTTTATTTGAATAGAGGGGGAGAAAAAAAAAAAGCACAGCCGTTATTGTGTAGGCTGCAGTTGGATCAATCAAGCAAAGATCATTGGCTCCATCAAGTTGTCTGGAGTGCTCTCAGAGTTATGGTGATTGCGTCTCTGAAGAGACAAGCTTTCAAATTGCCGTTGCCTGGTTACGCAAATGCAGCAAGAGCAAGTGGAGAAGTGTTACAATGGGGCTGCACAGAAAATGACATCCCATAACTACATTTATCTGTGGAGAGGTAGCAGCGGCCGCTAATGACAGCCTGCCTCTCATTTTACATTCACGAAGGGAAACAGAATTAATCAGAAGGACGAGTGAAGGAACCCTGGTGCGGTGCCAACACGCTGCTGCTTAAAAAAATGAAAGTCGGTGTCACTATGCAAAACACGAGAACCCCACGCACATGCGACCAGACGCTGCCTCCCTGTAAACACGGCGGTGGGTTGCGATCGGGGGGTTTTCCTTGATAAAATGGCCCCGCTCCTCCCCGGCCCACATCACAGGTGAACCCCTAAGGGTCCTGCGAGTCCTGCCACCTTTTCAAATGTGAGAGCGCACGTAAGAGCTATTTGAAGGATTACCTGATGGCAGCTTCAAGCCCGGCTGAGCTGAAAGGTCAGCTCCCCAAACAGTAGTCCTCAGATGCTGGCCAACCTTTGAAATGCAGAGCGCTGTGAGGTGTGGATCAATAGCTGTTGACATCATCACTCTCTCCAGACCACACTGCACCAGGCTGCCCAGGACATGCCCCGCGTTGTTATATAGTCGTACAAGTTACGTTTAATTTGTGTTAAATGTGTTTTAATTGCCTTTAAATGTGGATGATGAGCTCTGCTGGTCTGACAGGAGGCCATTGACCACCTTTCATTAAACACACAGTCGACTTTCGTACGTCTTTAGTGAAGTGTTATGCTGCAGATGTGTTCTTTTTAATCTGTTCAAACACTAATTAACGAATAGAAGTTGAATATAATAGTTGAAGTTGCGATATATTATGTATGTAGAACTAGCATATGGAATTGCAGAAGCTGGACTTTACAACTATGAAGTCACTACTTCCATCTGACTGTTTTAACCCTTTATCCACTAATTTAAACTGTTTTAATCATTTATCCGTAAGTTTATACTAACTGCTTTAACCATGGACTTGTAGCAAGGAAAATCATTTATCCATAAGATAATTATTTTGCCCAATTAGTCATTACTTCAGGCTAACTATTTTAGCCATTGAGCTGTTATTTTAGGCTAACTATTAGCCTAGCTTTTGTCTATTATGTTAAGCTAAATATCTTAGTCATTTATCTGTTACATTAAGCTAGCTAGTTTAGCTATTTATCCTTTACTTCAGACTAAATATCTTAGCCATTTATCCATTACTTTAACCAACTATTTTAGCCATTTATCCATTACTTTAAGCTAAATATCTTAGCCATTTATCTATTACTGTAAGCTAACTATTTTAGCCATTTGTCCAGTACTTTAGGCTGAATATTTTAGCAGTTTATCCATTACTTTAGGCTAATTTTATTTATTTGTTTGTTTGTTTGTTTATGTTTTGCTATTTATCTGTCACTTTAAGCTGAAAATTTAGTCATTTTTAGGCATTTATCTGTTACTGTAAGCTAAATATTTTAGCACTTTATCCAGTATTTGAGGCTATTTATTTAGCTATTTATCTGTGACTTTAAGCTAGCTATTTTAGTTATTTAATCTTTACTTCAGGGTAAATATCTTAGCCATTTATCCTTTTACTTCAAGCTAGCTATTTTGTAATTAATCCATTACTTCAGCTATTTCAAACATGTTTTGTTGGTTCATTGCGTTTAGCTATTTTGTAGATGCATCCATTACTACTTTTACTTTCATTTATCAGTTTTTTATCTTAGCTATCTGTTTAAACAGCTTATCCATCCATCCATCCATCCACATCTTGTTGACTTTTATTGATCCATTTTACCTGTTTCAACTTCTTTGTTCTCTTGTTAACTAGTACCGAGATAACCATCATCTGACTCGGATTCCTCTCAAACAAAGGGACCATCCGATCTGATAGGCTCTGTCAAAACAAGGAAAAGTGACGCGTGGGTTCGGAGCGGCTGATGAATGTTGAAGATAACCTTAAAACTAGGCCAGGCTCTGCCGTGCCCTCGGCGCTGTTCATCACCGTCCAGTATCGTGGTAGCGGGCGGCAGCTTTCCTAATTTTCCAGTCACTAACAGACAGTCCGGAGGGGATTTCCTCCTGCAATTAACCCTGCACTGGGAGGGTTTAGTGGTTGGAAAGTTGTGAAAAAAAAAAAAAAAAAGGATGGAGCAATTGTTTACCTGACGAAGAGTCACGACTTCCTGTACTGTAGGTCTGATTCACGACACGAGCGTGACCTGATAATTCTATTGAAAGAAGATTATAATAACTGCGGTTTCTATAAATGCCAAGAAGAGGTGATCATATTTTTAAACTGCGCCAAATGCTTTGCTATTTTTATCACGCACGTATCATCTTGAAAACAAGACACCGTTTCACTTGTCTCTTTTGCTCTGCTAATGACTGGGCCGGTGAGGTCATTAACATTCGCTGGGTTTACACGGAGGCTGGAGGCTGCGTGCTACAAACAGAAACACACCCCGTGCAGGATATGAGAGCTGGATTAGTCAGCTGCAGCAGGAGTGGCAAGTTGCTTACAGATAACAAAGATTAGAAAACATGTTGCCATGGCGTCCGAGGTATTTCCAAGGTGATACGGTTTAAAAGTGGGTCCTCAGACGCCTGGTGTCCTTGATGGTGTCAAGATACCGGCGAGGCTTAAAGGGAAACGATATTCTGCCGGAGAACTCGCGAATGTTGCGTTCGTCCTCTGCAGCCTGTGGAAGGAGGATATGAACAATGTCCCACAGTACATAAATAATTCGTTCAAAGCTGCAATTAAACGCTCTTCCTCTTTAGGCCGACCGCTAATTCACTGCCGCGGTTTGAAGTTTCGCAGGAGATAAGTGGTGTCGCCGCTTTGTTTAAGGAAAAATGCCGTTTTTTTTTTTTAGCAATTACAGGTCAGATCCCGTCCGCGGCGACGTTATGCAATGTTTTGTACACACGTAATCTAATTTTGCAAAAAGAAAACCCTCAAGATGTCAGTTTGTAGTGTGAAGCCAGACGACCACGATAAGAAAAAAGGTGGTCCGGTCACAAAGAGAGGAAGTCAGATACATGCAAGGAAAAAGGAAGCGAAAAAGGTAGTGAGAGAAGCAAGCCGCAGAGGTTCACACAATCAGAGGAAAAGGTAAATCTTCAGGCACGGGGTCGGCGGACCGTATGACTAACAGTGTGTGTGCATCTGTCGGTGTTTCACTTGGTTAACCCAAGCCTCTGGTTCCCAGTGACTGGTGGAATTATCTGAGTTACGGTTTTCAAGATGAGGCTTGAGGTTGGTTCTGTTTTCAGCTAAAAGAGAGTTAATGTGCTTAATGTACGCTTTGATGAATTTGCTTTGTGATCCAAGGTTAGAAAAACATCTCATATGGAGCCTGCATAAGGTTTATTTACAGCATGGAAGTGGGGATGGAGCCTGGCTGGAAATGGTCCTAATAGAATAGAATAGAAACGTCTCAGCAGCAAAGTGGCAGTAAGATAAGCATAAAAACAAAGATCTAAATGAAAGAGGCGAGGTGTAGACGCCATAGAAGAACACGAGGATACTAAGAACACAAAGTTAAGGACGAAAATGGACGTTCCTTCTAATTATCACTTTCATTATCTATTAATCTGCCTATTTTTTAATCAATAAATCCACCATGAAATATGTCCCTCGGCTCAAATTGAACCCTAGTTCTACCCACTGGTTCACCAGTTGAACCCTAGTTCTACACTTTCAGTTGTATCTCACAGCTGCTTTGCTCCTTTTTTCCAGATTTTCGTGTCTTTTTCAGTCATTTTGTTCCCAATGACTTCAAACCATTGTTTTCTGCTTCTGTTTGAATTAGTACTTTTTAAAAAACGATCACTGCATCGGGGTCCTGGGGGACTCAAAAGCACCTAAAAGCACCTTCAGTTTTAAAAGATGGAGATATGAGTTAATGTGCGCCATGGGTCCTTGTTTTTAGTGTCACACGTTATCATCAGGGGGGTGTTGGATGGAGTTCTTCATGTTAATAAGCCTTAATACGGTTCTTTATAAGGTTGGATGATGTTTAAAGTCAGAAATGCAATACATGATTCCATAACAAAATGCCTTTACTTTAAAAAAGAATTCTATTTATGTTCTATTATACAACATAAAACAGTTTAGTGAAGAAGTGTGCATGTGATCACTACATAGGAAACTCTAACCACAACCCCAGTTGGTTTTATCATAGAGTTATAAGCACAGATATGTTTTACTTGAAATTTCTGATAAGAAGTTAACTGATAGCAGCTTCAAAGGTTGGAAAATAAGCTTATAAGAAGTAATGCGGATTGAGATAAAAGCACAATTTTTATTGAAAAAATATGTCTTTAACTTTCCTTTTTTTTTCTTTTTTAAATGACATTAATTGCAAAACTGAGACTTGCTTTATTCTCGGGATCAACAGGATAAAGTAAGATGAGACAAGATAAACTTTTATTCGTCACATACATAATTACACACAGTACAATGTGCAGTGAAATGTGCTTCGTACCTGCATCCAGTTGCAATTAAAGGTGAAAATATAATATAATAAAATAAAATAAGGTAGTGAAGTGTTCAAGAAAAATGTATATACATAGATAAATCAAATCAAATCAAATCAAATAAAGCAAATGGAACATGTAGCATGCGCTGTACAAGGTGCAAAATATTTAAAGGTGCCAGTGTGCAGTGCAGTACAGTCCAAGAGCAGGTAGGACGGCTGCCGACCTCACCAGTCGTTGAATGTGTTGATATGAAGTTAACAATCAAAACCAGCAAATACATAATGGTGAGGAGTTAGAAGCAGTGATATTTTGCTTAAAAACATGATTTAAATGATTGGTTGATCCCATAGACTGTATAAAAGATGGACGTAGCTACCGTGACGTCACCCGTTGGTTTCTGCACTGAGAACATGAAGCCAGGGTTTTGCTACTTCCTGGTTGACATCTTGGATTTTTGGAGCCAGTGACGCAAAAATTGTCGGAGCGGGGCGGAGCCATAGGAGCAGCGATTGGTCAGACAGATTGAGAGGCGGGCCCTCTCTGCCCCGCCCACATTTACCGCCTTCTGCTCGCTTCATCTGTATGGTCTCTGCCGACTGTCAATCAAGCCAGCCACGCCCCTTGCCCCGCAAAATGTTTACGATTTTTTAAAAAATTCAGTATTGATTTATTTTCAGATTGGCCACCTGATCTCTGGACTTGACCATGAAAACTAATAAGAAAAAAATCCTGAGCTGGAGGAATGCAGTATTTGGTGATCTGTGATCACTTCTTTTCCAGTTCAAGTCTATGGGAGCCAGGGCTTTTTGGAGCCAGCAGCTAGCAGATGTAGTGATACTGTAGGTTTTTGACACTTCCGGGTTGGCTTCATTTTTCAGGGCCGGTTGCTACGTCCATCTTTTATACAGTCTATGTCAAGGGTGCTGATAATTGTGGCACACGTGATTTGATGTAAAGGAATTATTTTTTAATGTGGGATTTTTTTCACACTGAACAAATGCACTTGAATTAAAGGTTGAATTCTTTTTTCATTGTGTTCCTATATTATTTAGAAAAAAACTGAATTTACTAGAAGCTAAAGAACACATCTTTAGCTGGAGGGCGCTGTATTTATATGTATTTTCTGATGTTTTTTTTTCTGAAGGATCTGTCCATAAAATGTGCCAGACATCAACCTCACAGATACCTTCAATGAGGCGTTAAACCAGCTCCAAAATAGCACAACCGTGGTGCGTCGTGGCTAATTCTGGCTCGCTGAAACGCAGACAGGGGAATTCTCATGTCACTGAAACAAGTTTTCTGGTAACTCTGCGCCGCTCCTGATTCTGTGCATTTTGCTTTGCAGACGCGGACGGTTGCGTACGTGGGAGCAGCCACCTGCTGAACATCACCCTCACCATGCACCGTCTCCTCATCTCCTCCAGCGATCTGCTGGACAAACTCATCGCTCTATATCCTTCCCCAGTCCGTCTCCGAGCCGCGGCTGCTTTCACAACACGGCCCCCGTGATTCAAACAATGCGAGCGGCCAATTTGGAAGCCGCGGATGGAACACGGGATCAGATCGCTGGCTCCGCTGTGTCCTCCCTTCGTTTCGGTTGTCAACAGCAACGCACAGTCAAGCTCGTACTTGGCTCACAATGCAGCCCTGTAGCTGTCAGTGTAGAATGTGATAGGCAAGTGGCAGTTCGTGTTTACTCCCACTGTCGCTCTCTGCGGACCTTTCACATCGAATATATCATTTAAGCATTTTTTTGGTGCAGCTTCACTCTGAGCCCTGTGTCTCACTCATTCAATAACGGGGAGTCTATTACCACTCTGCATTCAGCAATGTTTGATTCAGCGCCTTTCATTTTCCCTACTTCATGCCTAAAAAAAGCTTCTTCTTTTTTCTGTGTGTGATGTCTTGTGATTTGAGTGGAGGGGGCCTATAATCTATCCTTCCATTCAGGAAACAGCAGTGGCGTCACAAAGCCCCCTCAGAGGAGCTGGCGGGGCCCGGCGAGCAGCCTTGGGGGTTTCAGGTGTTAATTACCTCTGCCTCTTTCACATACAAGTCCTCTTCAACTATATATAAACACAGACCCTCGGCTGCTTAAAGAGGGCCCTGCTCGCACGGACCCACGTCAGAGCTCGCACGGCGGCCCCTGGCGCTATTTTTAACCCTCCCTCGTTCTGAGCCCAAGACCCAAAAGGATGCATCAAATAAATTCAGTGTGTGGGTTAGGATGAGGGAAGAGACACCGGGGCCATTAACAATCTTCACCACAGTCTGGCCTTGGGATTGCGTGGGCACTTCTTCTGCTCCCATGACGCAATTAGCCTTTTTATGTGCATCACTTCAAGCCGATTTCTAGCAATCGAGAGCCATACTGTTAGTCTATTTATAAAAAAGCCCTTTGTGTGCTTTTGTGTGCGTACTGTATATAAATTCATAGGGGCAGCGTTTTCATGAGAGCAGAGTGACCACAGAAATGAATAATAATCATAATGTTCTTGTGGGCTGACAGCACCGACTGAAGCATCTTTAGAGTCCTACCACCAAACAATGCACATGAACAGTTGTTCTGCAGCGTTTCAGACACCGATTGTTGTGTTTTCTTTGTACATTTTGTTATTCGCTTACCTCTGTATGCCAGAATGATTCATTCAGTGGTGCTCATCAGAGTTTTGCTTCATGCAGTCGCCTCCTCCCACATCAACCAAATGTCACTTGTGTTTGCCTTTTAGTTTAGTTGCTGTAGTTTTTTTTTTTTATTAATGAGCCGTTTGCAGGAACGAAGCTCTGCAGCCGAGTCCGCCATATGTTGGTTATTTACTCAGAACATACCTGTCGTGAGCAGCGTTGGAGATCAGCAGATGTTCGAAACTAAAACAGAAGTATCGCCGAACTTGAAACGTTTCTGAAATGAGTTTTGCTGTGATGCTTGTTCTACGTTATTCTCGGGATCAACAGTCTGTTGAATGTGTTGATATGAAGTTAACAATCAAAACCAGCAAACACACACTGGTGAGGAGGTAGAAGCAGTGAATTTTTGGACATTTTTTGCTTAAAAATATGATTTAATTGGTTATCAAAATGGCGGATTTTGTTGTCGTTGAACCCTGAATCCAACCAGATCAGCTAAATGTCTCCAACACTTCTAACTCCGGATGTGAATCCCAGCTTTCAATTCAATTTTTTCAATTCAATTTTATTTGTATAGCGCATATTTACAACAACAAGTCATCTCATCGCGCTTAATTGATGAATTCTTGCGCTTTGCCATCAAATATTTGCATGAGGCAACGCATGGACGATAATAAGGAGTTCACGGTGACTGCGTTTGATATCTGAGTTTCTGAAAAGGTAACGCAACGCTCCGCTAATTTGAAAAGCTAAATCATACTTGCGTAAAAATAAATGTCCTATGAAAAAAGGGGGACTTTCAGGTGTAAAGTCTCCACCGTCTGAACGTCCCGGGCGACTAAAGCAAACCTATTAAAGACTATTAAATCACATTTCAGTCAGGTTATGTTCAGTCATTGTCATCAGCTCCTTGACTAAAGTCGTCACATTCAGAACGGCCGTGGACAGCGAGCAGCCAACAGAGTGCCAGAGGATCTGCTACCTCATCAGGTCAGTTCAACAGAGACACCAGAATTTAACTCGTGAGTTTTACGTGTCGGTCTCACTGGTGTCGTCTCCGAACCTCCAGGCACTGGATCCAGGAATTCTGGATGATGTTCCGGTTGGACCACAGCTTGTCAGACAGCCTGGACGAGTTCCGTGATCTGATCAGAGAGCAGGGCCAGGAGCGTCTCTGCTCGCTCCTAGAGACCAAATGGATGTAAGTGTTAATCTCTGACCAGCTGGCCGGCTGAGACACGACTCTTGGTTGTTTGTTTCGATCGCGAAAAGCACCGAAATCAGTCACGATGGAGAAGAACACGACCTCTGAGCTGAGGACAGGAGTTTATACGGCGTCTGTAAAGTCAGAGCGAACATTGTTTTTCATATCCAACTGTGTGTCACACTGGAGTCGTCAAATATTCACTTAGCCCGGTCTGTAAAACAACAGACTGGTGCTCTGGCTGAACAGTTATTGGATTTCTAAATGAAATCGCAGTTAGAAAACTGAAAAGGCTGCAACTTTGGATGTACAAGGTTTAACTGTGAAATATTAACATGAATCCTGTGAACAGATTGAAACCTTTCGGGGTTATTTGTGCTCGTCCATTGATAATATAACACTGGTTAAGTTTAGTTTTCATCACAGAATCAGCCCAAATAATCAGCTCATTGTTTAATCTATATATTCCTAGAGAATTATAATTTCCCACACCCTAATTAGAATATAATAGAATAGAATGCTTTTTATTGTCATCATACACAAGGTACAGCAAAATTAAAAGACAACTCCAGTGGTGCAGAAGCATAAAAATAAGTAGGTATAAAGTAAGTATAAAAGACAAATAAGAATATATACATGTGTTTACAAAAGGAGCCAGTAGGAAGTATGTACAGCTAGCCAAACGGTAGAATAAATATGTTGCACTGTTGAGGTAGGAACACTGTGGATATATGAGAAATATAAATAATATAAATAAATAATTATTATAGGTAATAAATATATGCAAGTACAGAGTACAATATCATGTATAATAATAATTAAAAATGTAGTTATGATATAATTGTATAGTATAGTATAGTACAAATAATAAATATATGTGATACATAGTACTGACTATGGACTAATGTGCATTCAGTACCCGTATTGCATGTCTGGTTCTAAAGACTTTAAGTTCCACAGAAGACTATAAAAATCAAAAAATATTCACGTTTAAGAAGCTGGAACCTCGTTATTGTTGACTTTTAAAAAATTGGCTTAAAAATACAGATAATTTTTAGAATTATTATTATTGGCAGCACTGTTGTGTTATCTGGAAAACGTGATGTGAAAACATTCAGACTTATTCCAGCTTGGAAATGTTTGCATCTTGACTGGAACTTAAAATCATACTCTGTTAAGGCGGACCCCCCAAAATCTACAGAAGGTTGTAAAATCGACAGCTCTGATCCTTGATTACGATTGGCCGAGCCGCATTCAAACCCTGTGAACTCATCTTGTCAGCATTTCAAGAAATTGCTCCAAAATACCAGATTTTTGTCATGAAATTCGATTGGCTGGGTGGGAAAGCGATATCTAAGTGCTGTGCTTCTGCAGCACGTCCAGATGCCCTCATTTTAGCGGTTCGATATTCCGCGACCTGGAGAATCTTCACAGACAAAAAGATGGATGGAAGAGTTACGTAAAAAAGAAAAAGGGAGGAGACATGATGAATTTAATGAAACTGAAGAACAGGAAAAGACAGAAAGAAGCAGCGACTGTGTGCCCTGTTAGATGTTTCCAAACCTGGAGCGCCTTCAGCTGCTCTACAGTCCCTTTAATAATGGCCTCTTGGGGCTTATTGCTTTAATTTATGAAGTTATCTTTTACTTTCTTCTCGGCGTGTATAGAAACGAGCGGGACTGGTCGTGGAAGGCCAGCCAGAAGATTAAAGCTAACAGCAGTAAAAAGAGGAAGGTGTCTCTACTCTTCGATCACCTGGAGCCCATCGAGTTGGCCGAGCATCTCACCTTCCTGGAGTTCAAATCGTTCTGCAGAATATCAGTGAGTAGACGCGCTCACGTCGACCTAACGGAGCGTGCATGTTTTGCACTTTGTTCATTTGATATACTTCTATATGAACCACAAACCGGTTGGTGTTTCCTCCATGCAGGAAATGCCTTGCAGTTTCCGTGCAGCGCTTTATGCTCCTTTCTCTGCTCTCTTTCTCTCTCTCTCTCTCTCTCTCTCTGCCAGTTCGTAGACTATCAAAATTACATTCGCAGCTGCTGCATGAAGGACATCCCCGTGATGGAGCGTTCCATCGCCCTGTGTAATGGTATCTCCCAGTGGGTCCAGCTGATGGTGCTGAGCCGGCCGACCGCTCAGCTGAGAGCGGAGGTTTTCACAAAGTTCATCCACGTGGCACAGGTAGTGGTTAAATCCGCTCCCACTACTACTCTTATAGTTTCTGTTCCTAATTTAGAATTTAAAAAAATAAAAATGAAGTCAACACATTTCCTCTTTCCTTCCATCTACGTGCTGCCGTTCACATGCCCTATCCACCTAATGACAGTGTGACTATGGATGCTGTAAAGCTGCATAATGCGTCTTCACAGAGAGCACAGATGAAGAGCTTTTAGCCGACCCAAAGATTTCACCAATAGAAAACTATTAACTGATGGAGTCGTCGAGTGAAACACACTTAAGCGCTGAGGAGTTTTATGAGAGTGGAAAAGACAGAAATGACTCGTGAGTGTAGTCACTGATCAGGCCCGGCTTGTTAAAACCACTCCAGTGTGAAGCTGCGTGCAGCCTGCTGAGAAGTGATACGCTGGCTTCAGGGAGCCGTTACACAGGCTCGTACTCTGGAGGACCTCTTGCACTGTAACACTAATGCACCAGTCTGCTGCTCACTGCTGCTGCTGCTGCTGCTCGCTGCTGTCAACCTCAAAACCCACGGGTGTGGAAAAGAATTTCACACCATAATGCTCCAGTGACAGCACGAATTAGAGAGCTGAAAAGAGAGGGAAAGGCACTTCCAAAAAAGAGTGAGATATCAGAGCGCAGTAAGAAAAAGCCAACAATATAAGTGGCTTATGTAACGCCAGTGTTGTGGATTATATAACCAGGGCTACCTGGAACAAGTTTAATTGTGCGTGTTTATGTGTGTGTGTGTGGACTGATATGTGTGTGTGTTTCTTTTCACCAGAGTCTACATCTTATGCACAACTACAACACACTAATGGCGGTGGTGGGGGGGCTCTGTCACAGCTCCATCTCCAGGCTGAAGGACACCACCTCACACGTACCCAGTGAGGTCACCAAGGTACAGGAGAACCGTAGCAAAGATTTTGTCCTCAAAGTACAAGTAGACTGAAGAATTTCTTTGTGATAGGACAATGGTATGAAGTTGTTAGCTGTGCTGTTGTTAGGTACAGCTAAAGGAGAACCGATCGCACAGGATCAAAGTCGGGGATCAAACCACGTCATTCATTACAACAATGTTCACTCCCCAGGTACTGAACGAGATGACAGACCTGCTGTCCTCCTGCAGAAACTACGACAACTACAGGCAAGCTTACAACAGGTGCACGGGTTTTAAAATCCCCATCCTCGGCGTCCACCTCAAAGACCTGATTTCGGTCAACGAGGCCATGTCGGACTACGTGGAGGACAACAAAGTGAACGTCCAGAAGCTGCAGGCACTTTACAGCCATATAAACGAGCTGATCCTGCTCCAGCAGATCCCGCCCAGGCTGGACGCCAACAAGGACCTGGTTCATCTGCTGACGGTTAGCCAACCTTGTTTTTTATTTTCAGCGCAACTTTGTGCATCGATTCTTTTCCAATTGTTTTGTGGTTTCATGTGATTCACGAAGTTGTATCGAACAACACAAACACAGATGCAAATGAGTGTGTTCCAGCATGTGGATTGTCTGCGCTTGTGTGGGTGTGATGAGAGTCTATGATCTATGAGTGTGTGGGTGACAAACTGAATGTGAATGAGAGTGAGTTCAGATTGCTGTATTGTTGCGATCTGTGTGCGGCGTTTTAATCATACTTGAACGACAGATGCCCATGAAGAGATAATAGTTAGCCCGCAACCTACATTTGCCCTCATCACAACATGTTTCAAGGAGAGCCGTGGCGGTACAGAGAGCCCTTTGTGTTCACCTGCCGTGTGCTGATATGTGTTCTCCGTGTTCCTACAGCTGTCCTTGGACCTTTACTACACCGAGGACGAGATTTACGAACTGTCTTATGCACGGGAACCCAAGAACTGTAAAGCACCAGTGAGTGATAGAAACAGA